TGATGGGGAGCGTGGGCTCGTTGAAGAGTTGCATGGGTTCGTAGGCTGTTCCTTCTATGACTTCTTGTTGCCATTCCGGGGTTGACTGTGTTTGGGTCGCCATAGTAGCGGCGTTGGTGGTGTAGGGGTTGTGAGAGGTCAGAAAGAGGGAGTGAAAATTTTTCACGTGATCTTTTGACGGATATATCTCTGCCACCAGAGGGGCAGGCCTCCTGGGAGGAGAGGGGAGTGGTTGAAATTCTAGCTGCTATCGTTTGGTTGAGCGGGATTGATGGAATTCGAAGAAAAGTTTTCCTCGAAAAAGTTGTGTGGTGGTTTGTTCGTCGTTATCATCTTTATATGGGGTGTCGGCTTTACATTCAGTTTCATTTTCCAGTGTAGTCCAATATCTGCCGCATGGGAGGTTCCGGAGATATACTTGGCTCCCTATTGCATTGATGTCTTGAACCTTTACAAAATTCTGACAATAACAGACATTATCACTGACATCATGGTCTTGGTATTGCCAGTACCGATGGTATGGGGATTACAGCTGCCAACAAAACGCAAACTGGCTGTTGGGGGTATGTTCTTTCTGGGAGCAACGTAAGTTTTGAAGTCCTTCTTTCCGATAAACTTTCAACACTAAGGACAAATTAGGGTATGTATCGCTGGCATCGCGCGTCTGGTAATCTTCGAAAGAGATCTTCCTACTTTTGGCTCTATGGATCAAAGATGTGAGAAGTGCTCAGGACTATTTAGGAAATTAACAAATCAATACTGACCATGAACCAGATGTTGCCGCTGACACGATCGTTTGGAGTTATATCGAGGCTTCCTTGGCAATTTTTAGTGTATGTCTACCTACATTACGACCTCTTTTCCAGAGGTCTGTCGAAGACAACTGGAGGGTCATAAACCTATGGCAGTAATGTTACTTCAAACCGCACGTATTCTTTGAAGATACTACACAGAACCAGAGATGGACATTCCAGGTTCGATGAAGAAAGCACAACCGGCTTTGCCAACAACTTCGAATGGGATAGCCCTACCGTCGACAGAGATGCAAATCTCGGCACTAGCACTCAGATTGAGAGCAAGCGATCAGCTTCTTTGGAAGCTAAAAAAGACCCCGATGGAATTAGGGTTGAACGTCATTTCTCTAATGCAAGAGAGCCATACAGGTGAGGGGAATTAGTCTAAGTATGGTGGGGTCAGTGGTACGTAGGATTGGATATCATCGGTCTTCAAGAGTTGGTAGATATCTTGTACAGGAAGATTTTGTATTTTAGATAGGAATCTGGTCGTCTACTGGCTTTTGAATGTTGCACAATGTAACTGTAACTTGGTTCTCTTTAAGCAGGCTTGGAGAGCCTGTAATGCAAACTTTGTACATTATCATACTTCCGCATGCTGGCTTAATTTGTGACCACAGAGAATCATTGAATAGCGCGAGCTCCCACCGTGAATAATGACAAGATAATTTGAACACAATACTTTGATTTGCCAGTCCTACTCATCCATATTCACGACAAGAAATACAAAGCTCATCCGAAAGAAAGCTTTCTGTGGTGGTAATTTGGCTTCCCCTTCACTGCAGTGTTACTGACGCCGAGCTCTCTCCTTGCGAGGCTACGGGGAGGGGAACCCCGCACAGGAGCAACATCCATTCCGATTGAATACCGTATTCAAAGGGGGATAAAGGGCATTGACATGATTATAGTACAATAATGACAACGAGACTCGACCTTTCCAGAAGTCCACTTCTGTTGATTCCAGGGTTAATGGGGATATTCCGACGGCGTCAAAGAGAATTTTCACTTTAAAGGCTTAGGTGATCTGCTCATCATTATGCCCTACGACATCCCGGGAAAGAAGGAGCTACAGTAGCCTTACGAATGTCTTAATTCAGTCTATCGTGCATGAATGCCTCGGCAATGAGATTCGAGGTTGAACATACCGATTGATCAGAGGCTTATTCTTATTGGTTGCAGAGGTTGCTCCGCAGGCATAGACTACATGGATAATGGAGACTTCCGAGGGTGGCATACCGGTATTCGGTACAGAGTGTCTACCTAGATAGAACCCCCGAAGTTGATTGAAACAATCCTGCAGGTGTTATCTAAGGTTAAATTCCCCGGTTAATCCCACATCCTGCAGGAGTCAAGCTACTTCACATATGCACTGTGACTATGAGCGCCAAGTGCCACACGGTATGTGATCCATGAGCTATATTATGTAGTTGATTCGGATAACGGCCATATCGAGCGAGCTTTACTGTAAAGGTGGGGTACATTTAAGGGGGACGAACGTTCGTAAAAAACACGAGTACCAACACGAACAAAGTCCTCCGAAATTATTGCTAACACCAACAAGCGTCCTAAACCCTGCCGGAGCTATCATTTCCTAATCAATTGAACAGACTGCGGGGTAAAACAACTCTTACTTTCCTAAAGAGAAGTATTGCCCGAAGCGATTGAATGGATCGTACCTCTTCTTGAGGATCTTCAATCTACCAAGACTCGTCCCGTAGATTGTTTCCAACGGGTCAGCAAACGCAAAGTTGATATACCTGCATGGTTTGTTAGACTGCTTCTTTCAGAACATATAGCCGGACTTTGGTGAAAAATAGGAAATACGTACGTGCTGTTTTTGTCTAACATGTCAGTACTGCGCAGAAGGTCGCGATTCTGTGATCCCCAAGCAAGAGCTTGCTTATCGAAACTTGAGTTATTATACCATGGCAATACTGCCACATGAAAGTTGATGGTGTCGCGATGGGCGTAAGCGGATGAAGATAAGCTAAAACTCCTTGCAGCACCCATGGAATAAGCTTCGACCAGTACGACAGAATTTGCGGCCTCCGGATTTTGAAGGAATTTCTTGTGGCTATTCCAAACAGATCTCCCAGTAGCTGGATCCGTTTGGCCAAGGCCAACACCAAATGCGGGTTTTCGTCCTCCCTTGATACAGAATGAATTGCTTCCATCATTCGAGTTGTGATATGGTAGCCATGCTGTGGTATCTGTAATTGGACCTATGGCGTAAAAAGGAGCAAATATCTTCTTGCCAGCTTCTTCGGTTCCGGTATAATAGGGACTAATTATGACTGTTGGAGTCTTATCCGAAGGCCCCGACGATACATAATAGAGATAAACTGCCAATTCAGGTGGGATCTGAAGCTTTTTGATAGTCGCTACCAAAGCTTCGATTTTGTCTTCCGTAAATATCAAAGTCCCAGTCCAAGCCCCGTTGTCACCAGTCGTTACAGGGTATGACTTCATGATTGCAGATGTGACAATCGCAAAGTTCTCACCTGCCCCCCGAAGAGCCCATCAAAGGTCAGGATCGTTTTCAGGGGTAACGACTTTTGCTTTTCCATCAGCGGCGACGATGTTCATGGATATAAGATTGTCGATTGTGAGACCATAGAGACCCATCAGTCGGCGAACGCCTGCGCCAAGTGCTGCACCCATCACCCCCACACAGTTACAGTTGCCTGTAGCAACTCTTGCGTGATTCTGGTATGCGGCATTGATGAACTCTTCGATGATTGTACCTTCTTGAACAGTAACTTCAGTCCGTTTTTCGTTGAAAGTGACTTCGTTGAGTCCTCGCAGGTTGATTGTCGTTCCTGTTTTCCCCAAGCTAAAAGTATTCGCCCAGCCGACTCCACCCGATTGTGCAAAAAACGGAATGTCGGCGGCGATACAATATTGAACCTAGCATGTGTTAAAATCTGGCCAGTTTGGACAGCTAGTCCAGTGAAATCAACCTACAGTTAGAAGAACATCATGTTCCGTAGCGACATTTACAACTGTTCCCGTTTGAGGTGGGTTGAACTCGCTCCATCTTGGAGCGGCAGAGGAACTATGGACTATTGAAGCATTTGTAGATAAACGTGGTCTGAGAATCGTATCAAACAGACATGCGTCATCGCAAGAAGGTATTGCTTGGACGAAATCCAACACAACACAAATCAATGCAAAGAACGACCAAAAGACTAGATACATTGTGGAAATGTTTCCTCTATATGTATGTTGTTGGCAAAGATGTGAGTGAAAGTATCGTAGGAAAAAAGAGGTACTTCAAGAGAGAAGTTATAAGTCTTCCCGCATTACACACTCACAACGTAAGATTAATTCTTAACCCTGGGAAAAGACGGGGACCTGCAGACACACGTGTAAACGGCATGGTGTAATCTTACCTGGAGCAATAATTTTAGCGGCCACCTGCCTATTTTGTGTATTGATTACGTAGTTAATAAACGCGTCGCTTATTAAAAAGGAGACTGTATCACGTGACCATCAAGCTCTACCTACAACGCACACACTACTGAACCCTTCTATGTGGGGATCTTTTTGGAGAGATTGTCTATAAGGAGAGAAAGTGAGATCTTCCAAGTATTGATGTTCTTTATTGCTCTATAGCTCATGTTTCCTTATTTACTCGGAATTCTTACGATTATTGGAACGAGGTTTTACATCGCTTGTTCACATTTGTATAATGCTCTGCTCAACTCAGGGTTGTTACTTATCTCCCTACGAAAATATATCTGGGTGAGAAATAGGAAGCACGAAGCATTGGCTTCTAAGCAGTGGAGTTTGGTCGTGCTAACAGGGCGGGGGTTGGTTTGAATCACATACAGACCGAAAGTACGTGGGACAATGGATATACCTCTTTACTAGTAGTGAATATCCCCAGGAGACCTGCAAGTTAACTTGTAGGGAGATATCGTAAAACTCATACGTGAGTGAAACGATCTCAACTTTTATGAGTGAGACTGGCGCCAGGTTTCTGTGACGTGAGTGTGATAACAAAAGTCATCTCGAGGTCAGATGAATGGGTTACAGAAAATAATGCTGTATGGTTTCGTGAGATGCACTATCCTCTATTGGGAGGAACGATGAGAAGTGGCCAACCCCGTCTAGGTTCGTTCTATATCCAATTTTCTACTTGGAAGTCTCCTTGAGTCCTTGATCAACTTGAAACATAATCGGTTTTCTCGTCTTACTATCTCTTCATTTGAACTGATATATGTCGGCCTTTGTTTTGCAGCATTTCGGGTCATGCCTCCCTAGAAGCCTCCCTGGATGCAGCCTTCCCCCTTACTACTGTAACAGAACTCTACACACCCCATCGAGAGAAGTAAAGATATCCCAAATTACCCACAGTATGGCTGGTAGTGCTTGAGCAAAATGACAAAAGTGAGCCTTATTACTATCAATAGGGAAGGGGTTGCAAAAAGGATCTTCCTTGCAGACCGTGTCATCTGAGATGTCCGAGATGATCTAAAAAGCCTCTTGATAAGCTCAAAATAAGGTCTGGGCCGATACGGTGTTTTTGATGAACCCCTTACTCAGAGAAGGTGAATTCGTTACTGTCCTGGTGGTGGTGTACTTGGACAGTTGGACTTCTAGGCAGGTGCGAACATTATATACTCCGAGAACACGCAAATTGATCTCAGTCCGGATCTTTGAATGTCTTGAGAAAACTGAACTACAGTCTACAGTAACCTAAAGAAACCGAGTTATAACTCAGAGGCGTGCCCACTTACTATTTTTCACGAGTTGAGACATTCCGCTAGGCATCGTCTTTTCCTATTTGCACACTTTCATTTCTTTTTCACTACTGAATCACCAGATCACGTCAAATTATCTTAGGTGGAAATCAAAACCGAAAATTCTATGCGGTGGGTTTAGTGTGATTACTGATGATTAGAAATCACGAGAGGACTGCGCCTCCACATTTACAAGACATCGCCGCCACTTTCCTGAGTTGCGTTTTCTGTACTGAGTGGGATGGAAATATCACTGTATGGGTTGTCAGGCTATTTATATGAAGAAGACACCATAGCGGGTGGGTGCAAGAATGGTTGAAAGGTGGCAACGAATCGTTTCCGCAACTGACGACGAGTTGCTCTCACTTAAGCCAATCTCATTATCGGTCGTGGGTACCCGCCAGCCTTTAAATATTAAACACTTTCTTCAGCGACCAGTCGAGCCGGAATCTTCTTCCCATGGGTTATTTCTTCCACCCGCAGCTGGTAAAGTTCACGACGAGGAAGGTTATCATCGCGCGACCATCACAAAATCTACACCAGGGGAACTATACCAAGTCAACCCGTCAAATTCAGAGCTGAATACCAAAGATTTCAAAACATTTTAGCATTTGTTACCGGACCAGGGATACTCTTTGTTGATCGCACTATTAGCAATAGCCCACCAGAAAAATTGGTACTACTTTCCGGAAAGGGTTTTAAGTGCTATGAACGTGTCACATCGCACACAGTGGTATGGAAGACACCAAAAATATGAGATAAACAAGAGATTAAGCATACTCCAAACAGCAGGATGTTAGCGAACTCTATCTGCGAGATGCACAGCATGTCAGATGTCGTGATTGCTCGCATACGTATTCTGCTCTTCTTCACATTTTCAGCTGCTTTCATTACGTTTTCCATTAAACGTTACTTCCAGATTACGGTCAAGGCAACCATTCAACCAAATGCGAAGAACACTTCCACCAAGGCTCATACACAAGAACTTCATCCCACCGAGATATCGCTCAGGAACTTGATTGAATTAGACGGGGCAGGATCATGGCCTCCAAAGACTTCCTATGGAAAAGCCTGGCCTGGAGTCCTTCGTCCATACCACGATATCTATCTCGAGCTTGTACCCTCCTTATCAACAGCGGAGCTATCGATCGATGATTGCGTCAATTATCAACGTTGTTTGGATTACCGAGCTAAATACAGACATGCATTGGAAGAGCGAATTAATATAGAAAAGGTTGACGCATTGCTGTCCGCAGCCGAGAAAGAAGACACCAAAACTTTGCTAAGGGAAGCTTGGAATGGACTTTTTGCTTGTATCGCGCTGTCAAGACATGCATATCGGTGAGTGCTTCTCATCGAATTCAAGGCTACAGGCTGACAAAATATAAGGTGGGGAACAATCCCTATCGTCAAGTTGGCACAAGAAGAACAAGTGGTCAACATGCCAGCGCAGCTGGATGTGCCCTGGGAGTATCTCAAGCGACGATTCGGAGTGACATCTCCAGGCGGAAACATAACCAGCAACTATCTTTGCAACTTCAACAACAAAGCACAGCTCGTCTACCAAATTAACCCCAGCATGTCAGACACCATTCAATCAGCAGATACAACTTTGCTCATCTCCTGCCGGCTATGGAGGAACAAGCCCTACAAATCTACCATGTAATAACCGAGTCCATACAACAACACACCATAGGCGACCGCAAAGCTCCTCTCCAAACCCTCCGTCAAATCAAACTTGCGCTGCGCAGACTATTAAAACTCTACTATGAGACAATGCTTGAGTCCAAGATCTCTCGCAAAGTATGGATGCGCTACGTCCAAGGCTTTCAAGGCTGGGCTGCTGGAACCATCGATCCCATTATCGGGGAATATACCGAGTACGATGAACTTTCCGGGAACCAGCTTTTGCTCCCTCAGGTCATCGATGCATTCTTGGGACTTGATGGTTATTTGACCACCGAGAATACCGTTCGCTTTATTCCCAAACGTCAGCGGGAATTCAGAGACCTTATCCGAGAACACAGTTTCCGACAGGTAGCCAAGGATGCTGGCGACTTTGAGGTAGAGGAAGAGATGTGCAATGTTGTGAAGCAGACGAGAGTTTTTCGTACGGCTCATAGAGTAAGGGTAGAGCCTTACTTGAGTGTTCCTGCTCCGGAAAGGTTGATCATGACTGCGGGAAAGAGTGTACTTGAGAATGACCAAGTTCACGATTATGAAGCAGCGATTGCACTGTTGGATATGACGTTGGCCGACAGGTTGGCAGAAACAAGGTGAAAAGCAACCATCCTACCAAGACTGAGTATACTTCTAGAAAAGCGGTGACCGTTTTGCCTTCATGACAACATGTGGTCGTGGAGCTTTTTTTGCCTTCTAAAAGTATGATTCCCGGATTCTTTTCTCTTTGCGACATGCGTCTCCTTGGTCACTTGAAGTCTTTGAGTGTTTGTACTATGTTAAGAGTACATATATTCCGTCGCAAATCAATTAATACATGTATATATGCTGTTTATACATAAAGAAGCGATTTTAAGCCAGTAGGGAGTTTGAGGCCCGATCATTTCTCGTTTGCAGGGCGGTAGACCTGCAGAATTTCTAATTCTTTATCTACTGCTTGTACATGAGGCGTCTTATGCACTTGATGCTTGCCTCCACCTACTGTCCAATTTGAAATGCTTATCAATTAATGGAAAACCAATCCTTAGTAACCTTTGGCAAATCCATTGTTCTAGACAACATTGTCTGTAGCCCCTAAGACCACAGGTAAAACCCATCATCTATATCCATCGCTCAACAATCGAGTCTGGAAATAATATGTTATTACAGATTCAACTCTACCTAGTTATATACGCATAAGCTCCAAGAGACTTAGTGAGTTCAACGTCTGTCCCGTGTGTTTATATCAACCACGAAGAAATCCCGTTACTATTACAACCTCTCCCTCATCACCATATCCCCAGAGAATCCATGCATCGAGTTATTGAATGCAGGGAGGTACTCCCATAAATTCAAGCTTCACCATTTCCCAACTTTAGTATCGAAAGATTCCCGCTATCCACAAGTTCATGATTGGAAAGTCCCGCATTTCTACACAAACATTCATGGGACTACTCAACCTGACTCCTCAGTCCTGAGTAACACTCTTACAAATCTCTGACTTAAAACCCGCCAAATTTCGTCTCGTGACTTTGCCATTACTGTTGGAAGGTTTGCAGAGACTGGACAATAGGAAGCGAGTGGTGGTACACAATACCTTGTTAAGCGAGGGACACAATCAATTGTCCCTGCCCTATTATCTATCGACGACGCTATTGACTCCGAGATGAGTCGAGATTATTCAGAAACCAAATATTGTACACAAAATATATAATTCCATCTGTGACTTCGAATTGCACAATCTTATAACCAGCACAAACAACAACACAAAAAACCTCGCAGGACGAAAGAGTTCTCGATACTCGGACCAGCACAGCACAACCAAATCACCAACCTCAAGACTACAGGAAACAGAAAAGAAATGAGATCTCTCACCCTCCTCCTCCTCACCCCCCTCCTCCCCCTCATCACCGCACAAGGAAACCTCATCCCCATCCCCCTCCACAACCCCC